TTGTCTGGCTCCTTTCAAAGTGAGTGAATATAGTTATACACCGCTTATGGCAACATTTAAGCAATATCAATCACTTTATAACGGCTGTTTGAGCTTGAACATTAACAGAGGAATTATAACATGCCTGCCTAAAGGAAACAAGGATAGGTCCTATCTTAAAACCTGGCGACCAATCACCCTTTTAAATTGTCTGTACAAGATTATTAGCACATGTATCACTAAGAGAATGAAGACTGTTTTGGATCTCTTCATACACGAAAATCAAACAGGATTCATTCCAGGGAGATCTTTATCAGATAATATAAGATTATTGTACGACATCATCCTGGAAACAAAATCTAAGAATAAGAAAGGTATGCTACTTTCTATAGACTTTGAATAAGCCTTTGATTCTGTGTCAAAAATAGCTATACTTAAAATTTTGGAAAGGTTTGGCTTTGCTCCTCAGATGATAAAGTGGGTACACATTTTGATAAGCAATGCAACCTCTTGTGTCATACATAATGGCCATCCAATGGTAGAGGCTGCAGACAGGGGGACCCAATCTCCCCATATTTATTACTTTTTGTAGCCGAAATACTGGCCGCTATGATTAGAGACAATGATACGATTAAAGGCATTTATTTAATAAACATAGAGCATAACTTAGGGCAGTATGCTGACGATACACAGCTTTTTTTGGACGGCTCAGAAGAAAGCCTAAGAGCTGCACTCAACACTTTGGAAAGTTTTTACTATTATTCAGGATTAAGAATGAATTCATATAAAACTAAGGCAATATGGCTTGGGTCAATGTGTGGAAAGAATATTAAAGTGTGCGAAGATGTTAATCTAGATTGGGTTCATGGTGACTTTGAAGTTCTTGGTATTCAACCAAACGCAAATTTAGAAAAACTATGGGTTATCAACACCAGAAAAAGACTAGAAAACATTAAGAGATTATTAGCAAATTGGCGTAAACGTAAATTGACATTAATTTTGAAAAATAACTGATAAAAACTTTAGCATTATCTACTTTTGTTCACATATTGCTTTGCCGCAACCACCCAAACAATTTGTTGATGAACTAAGTTCAATTCTTTAAAAGTTTATTTGGAACTCTAAACCTGATAAAATTAAACGGGCGAATTTGACAAGAAGCTATACGAATGGTGGATTGAGAATGGTAGATATAAATGTGTCTATATCATCGCTAAAGCTCAGTATCCTTAAAAAAAGCATGTTTAAGAACCTCTATAATAGCTACTTCCTTTAAAACTCCTTTTTCAACTGGGTGCCCATGTATCGTCTTACAGACTTTGTAAAATTGATAACCCCTACTGGCAGGATTTGATATATATTTGGAGTAAATACTATAGGTCCCATTTGACAGATGCAAGAGATATTCAGGCTATTCTAGCTGAACCGATATGGTTTAACCACCAGTGTACAGACTCAATTTTTATTATAGAAAACTGGTTCTGTAAAGGAGTGCATTATATAAGAGACCTATGTGATGAGAACGGGCTCTTATCCTTTGTAGACTTGATAAAAAATTCAACCTCAAGGGTACTTATTTGGGCCATCATCGAGTTGTTGGTAATCTCCCTAAAGAATGGATAAGGGTGATAGACAATTCTAAACCTATATGTGTCTACGATCTTAGGATTAATAACTCTTATGGAATGGACTAAACCATCAAAGGGATCTCGGAAGATATATGATATACTTGTGCAAAATAATTATCTCCCTATTATTTGTAGTAAATGGCAACAAATGTTCTTAACTGACTTAAACTGGAAGGAAATATTTAGTCTTCCTAAACAATTGTATTAGAAATGAATCTCTATCTTTCAAATCTTTTATTGCTACCTTGAAAGATCTTTTTCAAGTTGAGAATGTTGCTAGAATAAAAAAATAAATAGATGAATGTATGAGCAAATGGCTACCACTACTCACAATATGGACTGATGTGTCATGACTCTTCAACATGCTTAAAGTAGAATATTGGGATAGTGACCTACCATATGTGTCGATTAACGTATGGGAAAAGATATACATATTTATATGCATAAGCTGTATTAGAAATTTAATTTTGTCCTTAAAATCCTCCATCGCTTCTTTGAAATATATGTTGCCAGAGTATAAAACCAGCCAGACAAATGTGGAGTAAACGGGCACCCATTACACGACATGGTCTGATGTGTTATGACTCTTCAATGTATACAATCTATGATCTTTGTGCAGTAATGCTTGAATGTACCTACTCATGTTTGAAGACTGATGTGTTGTGAACTGTCAACATGTACAAGCTTGTATTAGGCATGTCATCTATATAATAATGTATAAATGTTTCTACCTCTTGGTTACCCAGAAGGATATGGTGCTATTATGAAAACAAACCAAATGAACCCAGGAGCAAACAAGTAATATTACCCATAGCACCGACTTACCTAATTGCTCAAGCTTAGACGATCTGCAATTATACAACTTTGATTGTATGATTTTTGTATAAAACTATTGTAACTAGAAATGTCACCTGTCAATGTGTATGATTTTTGTATAAAATGAATGTACCTACTGATGTGAATAAGAAAATGTGAAAAAAACAACAAAACATTTAAGCAATATCAGGGAGAGGGACCCCAGAAATGGGCTTCACACATTGAACCGTTGAGGTGATTAGTGCCCGGACCTTAAGCGTGATGAATGACACATAAGGCGACCTAACCGATCCGCTCCTTTCATAGAAAACAGTGGCATGTCGTGACTGAATTCCCAAATGCGCGCTAAACTATTTCACATAATATGCTGCTACGTTCTCCAGTATTGAGTGCTGTAGTTAGGTCACCTAGACTCAGTGATTTTAAGCACCATATTTTCGCAATATGGCAGCAATATCACGGCGTGGACATGATGGTCTACTTGGGAAAAGCCATCTAAGGACTGCAATCATCGTAAGTCTGTACAACAGTATCAATGTTACGATCAAAATAGCAATAAGATCGTTTTGCGCAAATGGACCCAAAGAGCACCTTCAGTAAATGTACGATAATCGTAGAGGTGAGATCGCGTTGTGCAGCGGGCCCAGAAATGAATGTAGGAGTCGAACATGCTCCCACAACGTTATCTCAGCTCCACTACGATCGTAACTCACATTCGATAACGTAACTGTACGATTATCGTAGAGGTAAGATCGCGGGCCTAGAAATGAACGTAGGAGTTGAACCTGCTCTCACGAAGCTATCTCAGCGCTTCGACGATTGTAACTCAAACGTAAACTTACGATAATCGAAGCATTAAGAAGGTTTTGTGCCAGTTAAAGCAACGCAACGTCCAGCGCTCTTATTCTCGAAACGTTCGTAGCCCTAAGAATTCTTAACTTTGATCGTAGCCAATGTGATAAGTGAGTGAGTATGGTTTTACGCCGCTTCAGCAATATTCCAGCAATAACGCGGCGGAAGACACCAGAAATGGGCTTCACACATTGTACCCATGAAGGGAATCGAACACGTATCTTCGGCATGACGAGCGAACGCTTCAACCACTAGGCTACCACACCGCCCCCAGTGTGTTAAGATTGGGCTTAGGAAGTTCGTAGGGCTACGAACATATTGAGAATAGCTAACCGGTGTTCAAGCCGGTTTGTGCTGAATCAGTGAAGGTCAAGACAAATGAAACATCTTACTGACGTCGTCGTCGAGGTACAAAACGTTGCCGCATTGTTTGGACTTGAATATTTTAATGTTTTGCCACCGGGAGGTAGTTTCGAACACCAGTTCTGTGAAATCTCTCTCAATCAGTCTCTCGTCCCCCCGTCATCATGAAGGGCCATGGTGGCTCCGTGCTTCTCTGTACAGGGACGGGTATGCTGCAAGAAACAGGGATACAAGGCTTGTGATGGCTTGTGATGAAGCCGTAATATGTACTGAAACAGTGATGGCTTGTGATGAAGCCGTAATATGTGCTGAAAAAGTGACGACCTATGACGACGGTGGTTTGTGTTGGAAGAGTAATGGTTAGTGCTGAATCAGTGGATGTTTGTGTAGAAACCGTGACGGATCGTGCATAAACAGAGGTCCTATGTGTAGGAACAATGATGGTTTGTGCTAAAACAGTGAATGAGTTTTACACCGCTTTCAGCAATATTCCAGCAATATCTTCAGCGTGACGAGCGGCTAAAACAGTGATAGTTTGTGCAGAAACAGTGATGGTCTGTGCTGAAACAGAAACGGTCTGGACTGAAAAAGTTATGGCCTAGGCTGAAACAGTAACGGTTTTGTGCAGAAACAGTGATGGTTTGTGCTGAAACAGAGACGGACTGGACTGAAACAGTAACGGCCTGGACTGAAAATGTGATTGTTTGTGCTGAAACAGTGATGGTCTGGGCTGAAATAGTGATGGTTTGTGCTGAAACAGTAACTGTCTTGACTTAAACAGTAACGGTCTGGACTGAAAATGTGATGGTTTGTGCTGAAAAAGTGATGACCTTGGCTGAAATAGTGATGGTTTGTGCTGAAACAGTGATGGTCTGTGATGGTCTGGGCTGAAACAGTAACGGTCTGGACTGAAAATGTGATGGTTTGTGCTGAAATAGTGATTGTTTGTGACGAAATAGTGATGGTTTGTGCTGAAAAAGTGATGGTCGGGTCTGAAACAATAATATGTGCTGAAACAGTAATAGTTCGTGCAGAAACAGGGACCTAGACTGCTGGGCGAACTGTGTCCCGAGCTGTGACGGTAAAGCTGATGAAACATGACTGCCGTTTTAACTTACCTTTTGGCTAGCAGGCAATATTTGCCAAGGTGCTTCTTCATTCGCTCCAAACGTATCTTTGTACCCTGAAACAAAATATATGATTTTAAGTTTATTAAATTGCAATTCTGTAATTTGCTGCTTTGTTTACTTGGCGTAGTCGTTATTACAGCAGTGTCTTTTCTTATTTTGAGAAGGTTCGATCGGAGCGAGGTAAACGCAATCAAACGTGACTCGACTTTCGTTAGACTTGTCTGTGTTTGCTAAAAGAGTTGCGTCCCTTTGACACGCCAGAAACTATCATCGCGAGTTCGAATCCCTGTCCGCTCCAGTACTGTTTCTAGGTCATCATTCTCCCCATACTGGTACTCGTAAATGGTTAATGTGAACGATGAGCATCACAAAAGTCTTTGCTCCTATACTGAGCTGACAGGCTCTGATATACCGTTGAATATTGTTAAAAGCAGCGGGGCGGTGGGGTAGCCTAGTGGTTAAAGCGTTCGCTCGTCACGCCGAAGGCCCGGGTTCCATTCCCCACATTGGTACAATTTGTGAAACCCATTTCTAGTGTCCTCCCCCGTGATATTGCTGTCATATTGCTAAAAACGGCGTAAAACCATACTCAGTCAGTGAGTGTTAAAAGCAGCGTTAAACCTTATTCACGCACTCACTCTCATTCACACTTACTAATACGGATGTGGGGGTGGTGGGGTAGCCTAGTGGTTGAAGCGTTCGCTCGTCCCACCGAAGACCCGGGTTCGATTCCCCACATGGGTACAAAGTGTGAAGCCCATTTCTGGTGTCCCCCGCCGCGATATTGCTGGAATATTGCTAAAAGTGGCGTAAACCTAAACTCACTGACTGATGTTTGTCAGTGATGGACACTTTAATTTGCTATGGTCACCAAATAAGTTCGTGTTCCCTCCATATGTTGTTTGCTTCCCTTGTTAAAGCAGGGCTAAGGGTTGCCCTGTCGCCATGATATAACTGAAATCCATACCTGAAATCAAACAAACCGGGGTACGCCAGCGACCCACGAGTGAACGAGTTTGGTTTTCCCTTCTATAAGCACTATTCGCCAGCGACCAAAACGCTTATAATATGGGTGTCTGAACGAGATTGGTTTTCCCTTGTATAAGCACTATTCGCCTGCGCCCAAAACGCTTTTAATAGTTATCGACTGAACGAGTTTGGTTTCCCTTCTTTTAGCACTATTCGCCAGCGACCAAAACGCTTAATAATATGGGTGTCTAAACGAGATTGGTTTTCCCTTCTTTTAGCACTATTCACCATCGACCAAAACGTTTATAGAACATGGGTGTCTGAACCAGATTGGTTTTCCCTTCTTTAAGCACTATTCGCCTGCGTCCAAAACGCTTTTAATAGTTAGCGACTTAACGAGTTTGGTTTTCCCTTCTTTTAACACTATTCGCCAGCGACCAAACTGTTTATAATAGTTAGTGTCTGAACGAGATTGGTTGTCCCTTCTTTTAGTACTATATATGTCTGTTGTATCACGCGGGTGACGTCATAAAAATACCTTACGCAGTATAACATGTGGGAAACGAACCCAGACTTTCTTCGTGACTTGCGATCACTTCTAAACCACAAGGCTAACCCACCGCCCTCTTAGTATAGTAAAAGAGTTGTTAAGCGAAAAATCGCTAACACAGGTCTGGTGTATTCGAAAAAGAAAACAAAAGCTGCCATTGTTGGTGAGCTATTCCATGTGCCATAGCCTGTGCGTCGCAGCGAAACGTTTAATGGGCTGTGTCTCTTTTGAGTGCAAAACACGTCTGAACAGCCTTTCATAAAGAGGACCAGGAACTTTGATAAAAAGTGTTTGACAAACCTTTTGTGGTCATATTGTGCACAAAACTGAATAAGAGCCTGCGAAGAGTGAGTGAGTTTAGTTTTACGCTGCATTTAGCAATATTCTACCCATGTGGGGAATCGAACCCGGGTGACGAGTGGACGCTTTAACCACATCCGTGTCAGTGAGTGAGTGAGTGAGTGAATTACGAAATGTAGTATAGACAATATTCGAGGTATGTCGTAAGGCAATCACCTTGTCATAAGGACAACCTGATCTTTATTTCAAGTTTTTGAAGTTCAGACCTAGATCCGCTAACCAGGAATTCCTTCTCAACGCCGGGAATGTCAAATATACTGAAGGAAACAAATATGGGAACACAAGTGTTCCTTTTTTCGTATCCAGGTTGTTTTGCAAGTTTTGTATTGCACTGTGGGTAATAACCTGCAAATATATATAGGAGCACTCCCATGTGGTGTTTCCTTATTTGTGTCCATCAGTATATATAGTCGTTTTATAACTATAATAACATTTAAAATGCGGTTTACAAATCATAAGTACTACAATTACGAAAATATATACAATAGTGAATAACCAGCCGTCATCATTCGACATACGCGATCCTAAAGTAAACACTCGTAAATTCAAATATCACGCATAAAATGTACATAACATTGTCAAGCTCTTATGACGTTCAAATCGTTCCCTCCTAAAAAATGCTACAAATGTGTAACCTGGTGCCATAAAATGCGTATCATACAGACTGGTTGCACTCTCCTGCTGCGACATTTTTATGAGACGCAGAACCGCATAGTCATTGCCGATGAATTTACAATACAAGTGCTGGGATAGTCACGATATCCTTCAAAGCGCACGACCTGGTTCTGGATAGCAACCATATTCAAATCTCGTTCAGTCCTGATGTAACATCTTTAGAATTTGTACATTTCCCTAGGTTTGCATGAGTTTTCAATCTTAGACACGTTAGCTATGGTTAGGGCGGTTCAGTTTGTCCGTACGTCAGCAGCAATCCGTAGTCACAGTACGTATGAGACGAAACTCTTACGATCAGTTTATCGTCGTACTGTCTGTAATATGATGAATATCCGATCGCATCGTGAATGACATTGAGGGAATAAATATTTAGTCTTTACCCGAAAGGGGCATCAATCGCCCGTCTTCACACGTTCCACACTCACTCACTCACTAACCCTGTCACGCCCACACACTATCCCTGTCACGCTCACTCGCTAAGATTCCGACTTTCGTTCACTCACTCACTACGCCTGTCACACAAACTCACTATCCCTGTCACACTCACTCACTATCCCTGTCACACTCACCAGCCCACTGACTAACCCTGCCACACTCACAAACCCACTCACTGACCCTGCCACACTCACTCACTGACCCTGCCACACTCACTCACTGACCCTGCCACACTCACTCACTGACCCTCCCACACTCACTCACTAACCCTGGCACACTCACCAGCCCACTGACTAACCCTGCCGCACTCACAAACCCACTCACTGACCCTGCCACACTCACCCACTGGGACCCTGCCACACTCAACCACTGACCCTGCCACACTCACTCACTGACCCTGCCACACTCACTCACTTCAACCCTGCCACACTCACTTCACTAACCCCTGCCACACCTCACACTCACTGACTCCCTGCCACACTCACTCACTGACCCCCTGCCACACTCACTCACTGGACCCTGCCACACTCACTCACTAACCCCTGCCACACTCACTCACTCAACCCTGCCACACTCACTCACTAACCCTGCAACACTGCCACACTGACCCTGTCACACTGCCACAACCCACTCACTCACCACACTGACCCCCACACTGAGACACCTCACAACACACTCACTGACCCTGCCACACTCACAAACCCACTCACTAACCCTGCCACACTCACTCACTGACCCCCTGCCACACTCTCACTCACTGACCCTGCCACACTCACTCACTGACCCTGCCACTACCACTCACTGACCCTGCCACACTCACTCACTCACCCTCCCACACACACCTCACTCACTGACCCTGATACACACACTCACTGACCCTGCCACACACTCACTCACTGACCCCAAGTGACACCCACTCACTGACCCTGCCACACTTCACTCACTGACCCTGCCACACTCACTCACTAACTAACCTTGCACTGCCCACTCACTCACTGGACTCCTGCCACACCCACTCACTATGCCCCTGCCAACTCACTCACGAACCCTGCCACATTCACCAGCCCACTCACTCACTGACCCTGCCACACTCACTCACTAAACCTCCCACACTCACCAGCCCACTCACTCACCCACTGACCCTGCCACACTCACTCACTAACCCTGGCACACTCACCAGCCCACTCACTAACCCTGCCACACTCACAAACCCACTAACTGACCCTACCACACTCACAAACCCACACACTAACCCTGCCACACTCACTCACTAACCCTGCTACACTCCCAAACCTACTCACTCACTGACCCTGCCACACTCACAAACCAACTCACTCACTGACCCTGCAACACACACTCACTATCCCAGCCACACCCACTCACTAACCCTGACACACTCACTCACTGACCCTGCCACACCTACTCCCTGACCCTGCCACACACACTCACTGACCCTGCCACACTCACTCACTGACCCTGCCACACTCACTCACTGACCCTGCCACACTCACTCACTGACCCTGCCACATTCACTCACTGACCCTGCCACAACCCTGCCACACTCACTCACTGACCCTGCCACACTCACCAGCCCACTCACTCACTGACCCTGCCACACTCACTCACTAACCCTGCCACACACTCACTCACTCACCAACCCTGCCACACTCACTCACTAACCCTCCACACTCACCAGCCCACTCACCACTCACTCACTGATCCTGCCACACTCACACTAACCACCAACCCCCTGCCACACTCACCAGCCCACCACTCTACACTCCACTACACCCTGCCACACACTCATTCACTCAACCCTGCCACACCCTGCCACACACTAACCCCTGCCACACTCACTCACTCAACCCTGCCACACTCACTCACTAACCCTGCCACACTCACCAGCCCACTCCACTCACTCACTGACCCTGCCACACTCACCAGCCCACCTCACTCACCCTGGACCCCTGCCACACTTCACTCACTGACCCCTGCCACACTCACTCACTAACCCTGCAACACTCACTCACTGACCCTGCCACATTCACTCACTAACCCTGCCACAACCCTGCCACGCTCACTCACTAACCCTGCCACACTCACTCACTGACCCTGCCACACTCACTCACTGCCACTGCCACTACCACTCACTGACCCTGCCACACTCACTATCTAACGCTGCCAAACTCACTCACTTACCCTGCCACACTCACAAACCCACTCACTAACCCTGCCACACTCACTCACTGACCGTGCCACACTCACCAGCCCACTCACTCACTAACCCTCCACACTCACCAGCCCACTCACTCACTCACTGATCCTGCCACACTCACTCACTGACTCGACCCTGCCACACTCACTCACTGACCCTGCCACACCAACCCATTGACTCTGCACATCCAAAAACTGACCCTGCCACACTCACTCACTGACCCTGCCACACTCACAAACCCACTCACAAACGCTGCCCATTTCTGGTGTCCCCCGCCGTGATGTTGCTGGAATATTGCTAAATGCGGCGTAAAACCAAAACTCAGTCAGTCAGACAAACACTGCCACACTCACACACACCCTCACTAACCCTGCCACACTCACAAACCCACATGCTGAGCCAGCCATACTCACAAACCCACTCACTAACACTGCCACACTCACAAACCTACATACTGAGCCAGCCACACTCTAACACCCCCTCAACTAACCCTGCCACACTCACAAACCCATTCACTGAGCCTGTCACACTCACTCACTAACCCTTTCACACTCACAAACTCACTCACTAACCCTGCCACACTCACCAGCCCACTCACTAACCCTGTCACACTTATAAACCCATTTACTCACCCTGTCACACTCACAAACCCACTCACTAACCCTGCCAAACTCACAAACCCACTCGGACCGCCTCCGTGGTGTAGTGGTTAGAGCGTCCGCCCGGAGAGAGGAAGGTCGCGGGTTCGATCCCCGACCGCGTCATACCAAAAGACATTAAAATATGGTACTTGTTGGTCCCTGCCTGGCGCTCGGCATTAATGGGTACAACGAGGACTGGTAACCCTATCACACTCAGAAACCCACTCACTGACCCTGCCACACTAACAAACCCACTCACTTACCCTGCCACACTCACAAACCCACTCACTAACCCTGCCACCCTGCCACACTCACAAACCCACTCACACAAACCCTGCCACACTCACAAACCCACTCACTCACCCTGCCATACTCACAAACGCACTCACTGACCCTGCCACACTCACAAACCCACTCACTGACTCTGCCACACTCACAAACCCACTCACTGACCCTGCCACACTCACAAACACACTCACTAACCCTGCCACACTCACAAACCCACTCACTAACCTTGCCACACTCACAAACACACTCACTGACCCCGTCACACTCATAAACCCACATACTGACCCTGCCACACTCAGAAACCCACATACTGAGCCAGCCACTCACTCATTCACTTACTGAAGAACCTTGCGGCTTGTCTGGTAGCTGTGTTGCTGCGAGTCTTTGCAGATCAAGTGTCAGGAACCCGGATGGGAATAGCCTCATCACCGCGTGACTGCAACATGTGTGATGGACAAAAGATTCATCGTTTAAAACATATATTGTGTATCATTTATTAAGTTGATGATAAACATTCATGTTTGTCATGCCTCAAACCGATAAGTAGGCAAATTATGTAAAACTTGATAACCGGAAGTGGGACTTTCTTCGGGTAATGTCCTCCAAGCCGTTGAACAAAGCGGTCTCAGCGCTAAGGAACCTTTCATAATTTATGGCTAGAGGGTGGGGTTGGGCGGGTGGGTGTGGTGCTTATTTTAAGGGGGTAGCCATTTGTTCTGGGAAGGTACATGTAGGAGGGTCATCGATGTACTGGGGGAGGGGTCAGCAATTCAGCAACTTTGCACATACTAACATTTAAAACTTATGAAAAATTATGGAGGGGGGTAATTGATTTTGTACGTGACATGCAGGGGGGTCACTTACTTTATGCATAAACTTTGGGGGGGAGGGGTGTCATTCACATTGTATATGCGTCTCCATTAAAATCACCATCACCCGCACCCCATGGTGGATTTACTCAGATGTATGGAACATGTTGTCTGAATGTTTACCCGACCATCGGGCTTGCTAGCGTCCGTCAGAAATCTAGCCCGTGTCAGACGGTCGGACGGGCCTTATTTCATGTGCAAGTTGAACTGATGTTGAATTTGTTGTAGCCTTCCAAAAATGCCGCCAAAACTTGTAGTTATTCAACAATCGAGACTTGAAAATAGCTTAGCTCAGCAACCTGTCTTTAAGCGACCCTATGAAGCGAACAGCATGGTTAAATTACAGTGGCACGGTTATTCAATGTGAACATGCCTTTCATTTGATAATACGACTTTCATGGCATAAAACATGGTGAATCTCATCTCTGCATTTTCCCATTCAGAGAAACGTTTTTTGTGAGTGTACTTTTGAAAATATATTTGTTAAACGATGGTGATTCCATTTTAATCTCTTTATGCCTACTTCTCCATATAATTAATTACTGAGGTTTATGGATCCTAGTTGATTGTCGTCCTTACAATTCGCATGTCGTGTCACATGCTGTGAAAGAGTCATTAAAATGAGAGAGCATTCAGTCTTACACAATGCAATGTCAGTTAATTGTATGTTTCTGAAACCTCGAAGTGAAGCATTAAAGACGTAACATTCAGATGAGTGGATGTATGGTGGCCGAAAGAGGACGTCGTCAAAAATCGCTTTCTCGTTTCCTGTTATCGCTTTTTCGTTTCGTTTTATCGCTTTCTCATCTCGTCTTCTGTTATCGCATTCTCGCCTTATGTTATCACTTTCACATCTCGTGTTGCATTATCACTTTCACATCTGGTGTTATCACTTTCTCGTCTCGCGTATCCCGTGAGCTGAGAGACTGTTATGATGAGGGATCCGGGTTAGAATTGGTCTCAGACCGAACCATGAGTCTCATTAACCAATTCAGACAATGACCTACTTTTCAGCCGATCTGAAATTTCTCGTGTGAAAGCGAAAAGAGACACTACAAAGACATATGGTTATACTGAATTCCAATTCCTTGTTTCCAATTCCAATGGTATTTACACATAAATTTTAATTTGAAAGTTTAAAAAAATCGTATTTCTATATTTTATGTAGAGGTTTAGGTAGCATGTCGTTAACTAAGACGTCACAGACTGCCCCGTTTGAAAAGATCGTATGATGATTCACAATTCATCTGGCTCACTGGTTACACCTGTTATGTGTTCTTTGCGCTTATTAGGTGTATTTTCGTAACGTACAATGTGATTGATATAATAACAATTTCGTACCAGACCGCCAAACTTTTCTAGCGGCCGAGCCTCGTTTTCAGATTTCCACATTTCCGTTTGTCAGAGCACGATGTATCAAATAATACTGATTAATATTTATATATCCAGTTGAATGAGTTGGTCTAAAAAATTCTGGACTGACTATTGTACTAAGTTGCGCAATAGGACGGAACCCAGTCAGCAGGAAACGACACTGCTGTGTAATCAATGTTTTGACTTGCAGCAACCCATGCTTGTCGTAAGAGTAGACTGACGGGATAGGGTAGTCGCTGGGCTCGCTGACTTGGTTGACACATGTCATCGTATCCCGATCTTGGCACATGACTACCTGATCTCGTCAGACAAGCATGGGTTGCTGGAGACCAATTCTAACCCGGATCTGCACGGGTTTGCGATGTACCCACAGGGAAATAACCTGTTCAAAATGGTGGTCACGAATCGGATACAAAAACGTCAATAAAACCTTTTGCTTAAATGCTGAAATAAATATTTAACATCAGCCATAAACTATCCATTACACGCATGCAATATTCGACTCAACACGACTCAAGTCAAGACATTGTAATTAACGTACCTCCCATCGCTGTTGACGGTGATGTACAGGAAGCCACCATTGTCGAGTTGTTGTTCCGTTGCTGTCGTCCACGTCCCTGTCCAAAACAACCCTGGCAGCGCCTTGACTCGCGATAATATCTCTAGATAGGAAACAGAAAAATAGCGTCATAGTTCTCAGAGGTGTCAAGATTGATCGCACTTACGTCACTGCAGTTGTTCATACACTGAGTGAGTGAGTGAGGTGGGTTTTACGCTGCTTTTAGCATTATTCCAGCAATATCATGACAGGGGACACCAGAAATGGGCTCCACACACTGTACCCGTGTGGGGAATCGAACCCGGGTCTACGGTGTGACGAGCAAACGCTTTAACCCCACTGGTCCTCATAGACCGAGGGCAACACACCAATGATAGTTGATAAATCGTTATTATCGATACTGTTAATCCTATCGATAATATCAAAAGATGTAACAATATCTACGCACTACTGTAAATGATTTTAAAATGTTTTTCAAGTACCTGTAATCATCCATAACAAAATCATCTTTTGTAACTTAAAACTGGTCAAAACTGTCAATCTTATCACATTTCGCTCGAGTTGTTTGAAGCCCATTTCTCGTCACGCCGAAGACCCGGGTTCGACTCCGGACATGGTTAGAATGTGTGAAGCCCATTTCTGGTGTCCCCCGACATGATATTGATGGAAATTTGCTAAAAGCGACATAAAAACATATTCACTCATGAAAGCCCATTTCCGTTTTTTTTCTCACTCTTTTTTCTACTCAAATTTTAAAGATCTAGTTGAATTATTACTCAAATCTCACACATATATGCTACAGTTCTAAACGTTATACATATGTAATGGACCTCCTGTTCTATTTACAGATATAAGGGAATCGGCCAGCAGATGTCGAGCCAGTGCATAACCTGGTGCAGCCTTTACCAGTTACTTATAATACCATGTAGATATAAAGCATCAACGCAAAGTTAATCCGTCTATATTATTCGCCGAAACAGATTCCTAATGAGGTGAATGGCCACATAACTGAAAATTATATGAGTGGATCCATGAAGTATCAGTGACGACGCCAGATGCTCTCAGAATAGTGTACCAAGTAAGACCTTCAACAAGTAAGCAAACAAAATGTATACAAAAATATGTATATTTGAAACATTGATTTCTGGATGGTTGCATACATTCGGAAATCAACAGGGAAGAGTAACACGGCATATGTAGATTTAGATTGGATGCTTTGTTGTTTAACGCCGCACTCAGCAATATTCCAGCTATATGGCGGCGGTCTGTAAATAATCGAGTCTGGACCAGACAATCCAGTGATCAACAGCATGAGCATCGATCTACGCAATTGGGATACGATGACATGTGGCTGACCAACCCGATCCCGTTAGTCTCCTCTTACGACAAGGATGGGTTGCTGAAGATCAATTCTAACCCGGATCCTCTGAGATTTAGAAGAAACCTTTTCACATGCATGTAGGAAAAGGACAAGATAACGGAAAGACCACATCGTCAAAGGAGAGAACGGAAGCAGGCACCAGACAATGAGGAAGAGTACCGCGTAGAGTTTCTACGCCGCTTTTACCAATATTCCCGACATATCAAGGCTGGGAACACCAGAAATGGGCTACACACATTGTACCCATGTTGGGAGTCGAACCCGAGTCTTCGAGGTGACGAGCGAACGCTTTGACCCTAAAGCTACAGCACTGCCCCAGTACCCTTCAAGAATTTATTTATGCTTGGTCAGTAGGCTCAGCGTACAGAGTTACACACATGCATAACGTACATGCATACTTTTTACAGTTTTGCCAGAAATTATTGAGAAAATTTTTGTTTCCTAATACTGATGACAGAATTTTACAATAGGTGTCACATTATGTAGTAAGGTACTCATTATGGGAGGCAACTCTTGTCGGCTTAAGTATGAACCTACACTACATTAAGAGTTATCTCCCCCTGGTGTAGCAGACGGCTCCCTTTGTTGACATGGCAGATTTGACAGCAGAAGAGAAAGGAAGCTGGTTCAAGATGAGTTTGAAAGGGGTGAGACTTATGCAAAAGGGTTAGCTGGTAGACATGACATTCCTCTGTCTACAGTATACAGAACGTTGAAGAATATTCAGTCAGGAGTTGGGATTGAGCACAAGACGGGGGCAGGGAGGCCAAGGATAAGGAGGTTCTGTACTACATCGACTTGGTCAGATTGTGAGTCGGGGAAAATTGAAAAGCGTTGAGAATATCAGAAATGGGATGATTAATAGAGGAAGTCGTCAGGTATGTAATGAAACCCTTAGACAAGAATTACAAACTAAGGCTGAGCAGGGCTCCAGATAAGGGCCGTATCGACGTATGCACGTTTAAAAAATTTGCACGATACGTTAGGAAATAATTTAGAAAACGTAGCAGATATGCACCACGGCAATGGTGTACGGTCTTAGAATCATTTACAGACGTATTTATCTGAAAAAAGTATTGTTTTATTGTATATTGACCTGTTTACACAAGACTAGCAATGTTGTGGTGCATATATGAAACGAAACACAAGATTACTGATACTCCATTAAATTCCATTCAGTACTCTAAATGTAGGCTTAAGGTTTTCGAGTACTCCTATAATGAAAAAATAAGGAGTACGTACTCCTGGTGTTCAAAAATTATCTGGCGCCCCAGTTTAAGACTTAACTGGGTGAAAAAGCGCGGAATTCTTTCGCCCTTAATGAAAGATGCACGAAAAGAAAGGCATTTAAACTGGTGGAGGGCTCGTGAAAATCAAGATTGGGATAATGTTTTCTTTTCTGATGAAAGTTCAGTTTGGCTTTTTCCGAACGATATGTTGACATCTTAAATGATCACATCCTTCCAACGGCCCGAACACTGTTTGAAGATATTGGATTTTCCAGCATGATAAGGACCAAAAACACAGTGGTTAACGAAAATGTTCAAATTTTAGACTGCCCAGCTACAGCTCAGATCTCAACCCTATTGAGAATGTTTTGGGAGTAATGAAGGACAGAATAATTTAAACCAAAATTTACTTAGAAATATTGAGGATATGAAGAAAGAAGTGGTCGAATATTGGGATACACAGTCACACTATTTCCTACAATTCGGTAGTTTACCAAGGCACATTCAGTCGTGCATTACTTTATCATCAGCTGCTGTGCAGCTTCCATCGGGCATGAGGTGTGGTGGGGTAGCCCAGTGGTTAAAACGTTCACTTGTCACGCTGAAGACCCGGGTTCGATTAACCACATGGGCACATGTGTGAAGCCCATTTCTGGTGTCCCTCGCCGTGATATTGCTGGAATATTGCTGAAAGAGGCGTAAAACCAAACTCACTCACTCACTCTATCGGGCATGTGCAACCTGCGGTTATCTCCATTTGTCATACAAATTCACTGTGCGTGAAGAGTAGCGTCCCTTGGTCACGGCAGAAACATCAAGGTGGTGAGTGGTTTTACAATATTTGAGCTGTGGTGAGTGGTTTTACAATATTTTGAGCTGTGGTGAGTGGTTTTACAATATTTTGAGCTGTTAAATATGCAATGGAAGCGCATGAATCTGGTCTTTGCAGACCTGGTTATTGTATCGGACCAGCGGATTCTTGTACGAAGGGAAGCAATGTTAAATACAAAATCGCGAAAATGAGACTGGGACACTTGTGTCAAGAGCTCCTCTAGATTCTGGAATAAGGTCTTTCTAACAAGCGCTAGTTGAGTACAGAATCAAGTTTAAAGTGCTGACTCTGACATTCCGTGCTATCCACCGCGATGCTCCTCCGTACATTTCTGAACTCATCCAAGAATATAAACCTGAGAGAACTCTACGTTCTTGTAACCAGTGTCTCTTGAAGCTTCCGTCAGCTCGTACATCACTTGGCGAGAGAAGTTTCGAAATCTCAGCCCCCCAGTTATGGAACTCCCTCCCACTTGAAATAAGAAGTGCCCCCTGAGTTTGAATCATTCAAATCACTACTGAAAACACATTTGTTTAAAGTCTGCTACTGTTAGAGTGTGTATTCCCAGGACAGTTCATTGCTCACAAGCGCTTTTGAGCAGTTGATTATACTGGAAACAAGCGCTATACAAGTGTATATTTATTATTATTATTAGTCAATTTGTATTTCCTTATCACATGTTACTTTTGGTCTTTCAGTCTTTGTGACTACCTTTTAGCTTTCATATTTAGTTATTATTAACTAAGTTTTATCGTCAATTATTTGGTACTCTGATTTATGTAAACAAATATTAATTTTTTCACAGAAACAGAACGATGTTCCTATGTGGTCATATCTTACCAAGAATAAATATATAAGATAGCTTAAAAATAAGTTAAATATGCATTAATAACTGAAGCAGCCTTAACGATATGGCCCTGCGATGATACGAGTAACGTTCATGTCTGATTTTTATCCCGACACGCCCACTTTCTTGAGCTGGTTGTTTTGTATGAGTCATATCTTCATGAAGCCCGTGAGAGTGTCTCATTGCCACGTGTAACGACAAGGAATACTATAACCTTACTGGGTGATAAACCCTCTCAGCCGTGTCAATCAGCAGAGTATCATTACCGTACCTCCTGTACAATCCAATAAACCCGGGAGGGAGTTATAAACCTGCGCCAATTCAACATCCTGACAACTACACCTTGTCCTGTCGCATCTTGAATCTTTAACAAACCTCGAAAACATGATGGAAAACATTGCCTGCTTCATTCCCCGAATTACTTCACCCTGACGAGAGGTGCAACTTGCCACGCCCGTTTGCATCACACTCTACCCTACTTCACCCTGACGAGAGGTGCAGCTTGCCACGCCCGCCTGTCTGCATCACACTCTACCCTACTTCACCCTGACGAGAGGTGCAGCTTGCCACGCCCGTCTGTCTGCATCACACTCAACCCTACTTCACCCTGACTGACGAGAGGTGCAGCTTGCCACGCCCGTCTGTCTGCATCACACTCTACCCTACTTCACCCTGACGAGAGGTGCAGCTTGCCACGCCCGTCTGTCTGCATCACACTCTACCCTACTTCACCCTGACGAGAGGTGCAGCTTGCCACGCCCGTCTGTCTACATCACACTCTACCCTACTTCACCCTGACGAGAGGTGCAGCTTGCCACGCCCGTCTGTCTGCATCACACTCTACCCTACTTCACCCTGACGAGAGGTGCAGCTTGCCACGCCCGTCTGTCTGCATCACACTCTACCCTACTTCACCCTGACGAGAGGTGCAGCTTGCCACGCCCGTCTGTCTGCATCACACTCTACCCTACTTCACCCTGACGAGAGGTGCAGCTTGCCACGCCCGTCTGTCTGCATCACACTTTACCCTACTTCACCCTGACGAGAGGTGCAGCTTGCCACGCCCGTCTGTCTGCATCACACTCTACCCTACTTCACCCTGACGAGAGGTGCAGCTTGCCACGCCCGTCTGTCTGCATCACACTTTACCCTACTTCACCCTATCAGCCTGTCTCCTCAATCGGTGTCTGCGACAACCTCTACCCTACTTCACCCTATCAGCCTGTCTCCCCTACTTCACCCTATCAGCCTGTCTCCCCTACTTCACCCTATCAGCCTGTCTCCTCAATCGGTGTGTGCGACAACCTCTACCCTACTTCATCCTATCAGCCTGTCTCCTCAATCGGTGTCTGCGACAACTCTACCCTACTTCACCCTATCAGCCTGTCTCCTCAATCGGTGTCTGCGACCTCTATCCCACCTCACCCTAAAAGCCCCCGTCTGCATCAACCTCCATCCTGCTTCACAGTATGACTGACTGACTGAGTTTGGTTTTACGCCGCTTTTAACAATATTCCAGCAACATCACGGCGAGGGACACCAGAAATGGGCTTCACACATTGTACCCACGTGGGGATTCGAACCCGGGTCTTCGGCGTGACTTCACATTATGAAGAACTACAACTTGCACACCCTTATCTGCATGAACCTCTACCATACCACAACAGCCCCTGTGTCCTCAGTCACCTACCCCCCACCCACACCCACCCCCGTCTGCATCAATCGCCACCCCAACAAGAACTACAACTTGCACACCCCTATCTGCACCGCTCTCCACCATACCTCACCCTCACAGCCCCCGTCTCTTCAGTCCCTGTCTACACACATCCCCCGCTGACCTCCCCAAAAACAGCTACAACACCCAAACCCTACCCAACGACACACACAGGCATTACATCTCACCACAGATCACCGTGTACCACCACGCACTCGGATTCCGATTACGTGAAAGCACAGAAACATATAACATGTCAAGTTGGCTTGCTATCCAAGCAACGTTCAAGACAATCGATGTGAAGTTATTGAGTCAATGGATATATTACTGTACACTACCGATCTCGTGATCTGCTAGTCTCTCCTGGTCCAACTGAAACCACAACATGAACGTCTGCGCCTCCATCGCGACTCAGCTGACGAGGAAGGTGGTTGACTGCCGTTGGGTACCTGCCCAGCTTGTACAACCTAGAGCCAGCTATATATACTTCAGTAATACTAGCAGTACTGTTTTTTTCATATATATTGTCGGTAAGTACAGGGACGTTCACAATTCAGTACCACATTTACCTGAGAATACATGTTTTGTCACGTTATGCATGCTTCATCGAAAAGTACAGTATTGTTCAAAAACAAGTAGTACCCAGTGCGCCCGCATGTTTTTCCACAGTATATAGTTTTATACAAGAACCTACATACTCAACCAACCACGACGACACGTCGTATTGTATTTATCTTCTGCACTGACTGACACGAAGATTTCAGTTCGGTGTCATGGTTCAAGATACACGCCTTTAGATTGAGATGTTGTAAGAATCAGTCGGGCAATTTTAACGCATTTTGTATATCATTCCTCGTGTGAAAAGATAATTCATAAAATAGATACACTGTTCTATAACACAATGCTTTGTTTTTGTACTGTTCAAATCAGCTGCGCTGACAAATATTCAGAACTCTCAACATCGCTGGGCTTATTCAGTAGCATTGCGTGAAGAGATGACGGATCACTGGGAGGAGCTCAATGACCCCCAGCAAACTTTTCAATCACGTCACAGGACATTGTTCCTTGCAACAAATTTACGTGATACGGTTTTGTGACGTAAAACATTTTTGTGCTGACTTCTGTAGGTATATCGTTGGATAATGGATATTAAAACATCAATCAATAATGAAGATGTATTTTTCTGTTGAACTCATTTGGATTGTGCATTGGTTCGCATCAATGCCAGCATGTTACCACATGACAGAGAAAAGTTACATTCATCAGCTTGACCTAGTTTATGACGTAATTTGTTAGATCAAATGAAGTTTAAAAACGTTATTAACTGACAAAATATTAAACTCGCTCCTGTGTAGTACACATTCTAATAAGCCTGTTGGATGAGTGAGTGAGTGGCTGACTGACTGAGGTTTTTTTATGCCTCTTTTAGCAATATTCCAATATGGGCTTAACAAATTGTACCCATGTGGGGAATGGAACCCGGGCCTTCGGCGTAACAATTAAACACGTTAACCACAAGGCTACCCCCAACGACCCAATCGCATGTAGCCAGTCCCGTTTTGTTTTTTGGTTTTTGACAGGTTATCAAAATTGAAGACACACACAAACAGAATCAGGAACATTTAAATACGTTTCACGATTACCGCCATGTTGAGTAAAGTGATGCTTATGCTCGCAAATCGCCACGCCAAAGACCCGGGTTCGAATCCCCACATGAGTACAATGTGTGAAACCCATTTCTGGTGTCCCAAGCCGTGAATAAAAGCGGCGTAAAACCATACTCACTCACTCACTGAGACAGCCGAATGCCAAGGTCACGACTGTGAGTGATATTGGCCGGTGATGACCCTTATCGTCATTGTGGCAGCCGATCATGGGCGTTATCACATATTATGTCCGCGCGGCTGCAAAAGTATGTGGGTCATTGTGTGCAATGAAATCCAATACTGCACATTCGATTCGTTCGTGTTTGGCCTCTGTGTGGAAACACATACTTGTCATTTTCAAACGTGTAAGACAAGTACCATTGCCTGACGTCACAGGTGACTGACGCAGACAGATTTTACATTTACGGTCAATGTTTGGCAGGGGACAGCGATCATTCTTTTGTGAAGAGATTACTCGTGAACGCCATGGTTGGTGGTGAAGGGTTAAGGTATTCTTGGTTTAAGGGTGGTGTGGTAGGGCAGTAGTTTTGTCAGTCACGTCAAAAAGACTGAGGTTCGATTCCCACTGGTGCAGGTCCAGCGAATTGATAATGCGCATACCTCCCCATCCATCCTAGTCTGTCTCACAGTCCCTGAACCACATTATTTTCCCCACTGCCAAGCCTTCTCTGCAATGCTAAAGCCCTAAATAAAGCAAGTCTAGGTTTCCTCAGGTTCTGAATCTCTGGTCTCCCTAGGGCTCCTTTTCAATATAAATGGGCTTGTTTGTTACTATCAAAATTATATATATTCAGAGACTAAGCCTTAGTCTACATCCATCCCTACGCGTACACTCTACTCACACATTCCACACGCAAGCACACACGCATACGCACGTATGCACACATGAATGCTCGTACACAGATACATACACACACATTCACATTCACACACACACAAACACATGAACTCATAAACTCGCTCAAACACACACAGACACATAGACAAACAGACATAAAAAACATATGCTTGCACAGATACATACATGAACATACGGACACACACATGAATACACACTCTCACACACATGCACAAACACACATGCATACATAAACACATATTCACACAGACATGCATGCATGCATATTCACACACACATACTTACACATGCATACATAAACACATACTCACACAGACAACACACATGTTCAAACATGCATATATAACACACATACTCACACATGCATACATATATACATGCACACATACTCACACATGCATACATAAACACACAGACACACATACTCACATGCATACATAAACACACACTCACACAGACAGACACATACTCCCACATGCATACATACTCCCACAGACACACATGCATACATAAACACACATAGTCACACAGACAACGCACATGCTCATACATAAACACACATACTCACGCAGACACACATACTCACACATACTCACGCACACATACTCACACAGATACACACTGGCACGACTCCGGCACACAGGCTCCCTCACTTCCCCTATGGGCTTGTTCCTCGTTATAATGTTAAATGTAATATAGTGCCGTGTTGAGCTATTGATCGCTGCAGGCGTACCAACTCGCCCGGCTGTTGAACATACAGGCCAAAATACACGCACCTTGATCTGACGTTAAAAGACCTACCACCCTTCAGCCCTGTGAGCCTCATCATATTGACGTCGTGTTTAATGGTATACAATTGGGTAAAGAACGAGCAGCCTCATGCCGAACAAGAACTTTCTTCTCTATTTGAAACATACCAGATCGAATCCCAAAGCAATAAAAAATGATGATTTTCTGATTCACTGTTTTGCTGGATCGTTTATTACCTTAAACATCCCAGATCGGGGATCAGCATTATATCTAATGTTTTTATGGACATGAAGTATTCATGGTTCCATTCCACATATTGACTTCAGAGTTGATTGAGAGTGGTTCAGATTTAAGGAATCATGTTAAAGAATGGGAATTTCGATCGTCTTCGTGCTAAGACTGTTTAGTAGAAACTGAATTCTGAATTCTACTTGGTCATCTGGCGCGATAAAAGACGCGATTTCCGGTTGATTGTTTAGTTTGTTTAGTTTGTTGGTGTTTGTAGTTGTTGTGTGTCGCTGTCGACACCTACCAAAAGACGTTAACAGATGGCGCTCAGCTTGAACGAAATAAAACAAGGACAAACTACTGTGGGAGCGCTGGGGTAGCCTAGTGGTAAAAGCGCTCGCTCGTCACGTCGAAGACCTGAGTTCGATTCTCCACATGGGTACAGTGTGTGAAGCCCATTTCTAGTGTCCCCCCCTGATGTTGCGAGGATATTGCTAAAAGCGGCGTAAAACTGAATTCACTCACTCAATACTGGGTTCGTGTGGGCTGAGGAATCCCCGTGTGCTAGAACTACCGGTATATTATTCTTGTATTTGTCTTGTAACCATGTGGGGACTCGATCCAGTTCTTTGGCGACGGTGACGAGCGAACGCTTTTACCACCTGGCTACCCTACCACCCCTTCGTCCCTGAAGCGCACACTGCTGTCATGCGACTCTGCAGAACATGGACATCCCATCCCAGATCATGATTGAGCCGCCATGATTGAGTGGTCATGTTACGATTGAACGGTCATGTAAATTTGAATCTTCAAATCGTTCTCCTCGTATACGACACACTCGGTCACAATGATCCGCTAAGTACAGACAGTATCTCGATTACTGTCTGTCCAGACAGCCGAGTCTGTCGTGTAATGATCTTCAGTACATCTGTCATTTTTAAGCACCAATTGCCCATCATGCCAGTGACTTCCTGCCTCCGACTCAGTGTGCGAAATAGCCACTGGTCCTCTTGCTTGTGGCTAGTAAAAATCCAGTCGGACCAGTTACTCTCCACAGTCACTGGCCCGACTGGCAAGTGAATTTTCATGGGGTCATTTTGTAAATATATCACTCTCTCCGACTTGTTAAATTATAATACACTTTTCAATCCTGCAAGATTATAGCCGGATATTAGCAGCTGAATGATGAAACCCGCGTCTACATTGAGATTTCGGGCTAGTGAATTATTTTGTGGGCTAGTAACTTTCAGGCATATCTAGCCCGACTGGCTAGCGAAATTGGGAAACTAATTCGCACACTGCTCTGAGTACACAATGCCATTTAGAAAGTCGTCAAATGTAACACATGTTATATTTGGAATTACACTTTCACAGTAAAGTTCAGATTCGTGTACGTTTTTTTTTCATTTTATTGTATTAGGTTGAGCCCCATCTGGGATTCGAAGCCACACCCTCAGAGTCTGGTACCTAATCGCCAGCATACAAATCAGCCGTCTAACCCTACCGCGCCTTCCTGCCTCTGTCTGGTCAGCGTGAAACTGAGGACCTGTAGAGGTTCCCCAATCATTGTGAGCCGGGATATCTCGATTTGATGCCGTTGTCCATCACAGGTGAGGTGAGGTGAAATTGGGTTTTACGTCGTGCTTGAGAATATTTCGCTCATATGACGACGTGCATGTGTGTGTATGTGTATGTGCGGCTGCTTGTACTAGCCCAGACTGAAGCTGGTTTTATAGTGCTAGCCTACTGAGATACCATACCGCAGTTAAGCATGAATGCCCCTCCTAGATACATTATACTGACTCCGAGCCGACTCCGTCCTTGTTGTACCCATTAATGCCGCGCGCCAGGCAGGGACCAACAAGCACTATATTTTAACGTCTTTTGGTATGACTTGGTCGGGGATCGAACCCGCGACCTTCCGCTCTCCGGGCGGACGCTCTAACCACTCAACACGGAGGCGGTCTTGTCACAAACAACCTTACGACTACGACCATCGT